GCGTACCTGTTTTATGTACATGCACTTGTTGTATGCATGTGCACATGGACACGAGTACAAATGTGTGTGTGTGTGTGTTCTCATAAGGAACACCAGGCAAAGGCAAATGGTGAGTTCAGAATGACTTAAACGGGCCGGCTAACAAATCGAGACAAGCCATTCGACTTACCACGTCCACCCGCCATTTTCCATTCATTTGTGTCCCTTCATGTTCATTCTTTTTGACATAGGTAATTTTTTTTTTTACCCAAGAATATTTCACCTCATCTTCCCTCTTGCTTCTGGTTTTCATCCTCCGGTCTTTGTCTCTCGTGCTTTTGAGAACAGCAGAGGAGCTCATAAAACTGGGACAGAGGAAAATATCTCAAAGCACAGAGACAAAGAGGAAACAAGAGAGAGGCTTCATTTCTCACACTAGCAGCAAAAGGCTTCATGTTCTGTGTCCTTCGTGGAGTTGCATGTTCGTCTGCATGTGTGTGCACCTGCCCACAGACAGGTTTTGTAAGTTAGGGACGTGTTCTGGATTGTTGGCAGACAATAAAGCTGCGGTCTGCACAGCCCTACATGTGAGGAGTTTTTCAGCTATGTACCAGTTGTTCATGTGGCATCTGCAGTGTCAGGCTTGTATGACATTTATTTTGTCTAGGGAAGAGTAAATCAGTGTAACTCCCTCAAGGCTGAGCATCTTTGTCATGGGGGAGTGATTGCATAATCCTGTGAGATCACAAGGCCTGTAGGAAATATAAGACGACAGTGTTGTCTGCGGCTCCAGGCACAGCTGTCTGTGGATGTTTCATGCATGTGCACAAGCAAAGAGTCGGGTGTCTGTGTGTATATGAACTGTATGATTGCTCTGTTGGAGGTTAACGCTCATGCAGGCCTGGGCGGCCGTATGTTCATCCCATATGCAAATCCTAGTTCAAACATTAAATGTGAGAATTTTCCTCTGCGTATGTGCGTCTGTCCTCAAATGCTTTGTCTATCTGTCTGCCAGCAGGGGGCATTCTGTTTGAACGTCTTACTGCACAGACCTGCACTGACAAACAGGCGCTGGCTATGTCAGGAGGAAAGACAGTAAAAGGGCCCTAAAAATGAAATGAACGGATAAATGTTGCTACGAGAATTGATCTTTATATGTTAAACAATGTACTCTAACTAAATCTTTCTCTTTCTGCAGGATGTGATCCAGGCCATTTTGTGCAGACGTGTCCAGACGAAACATTTCTGCAACGCCATCGATGAAAAACGGTAACCATCCAATATGACGTATAGATTGTCTCTTGCTTTTATTTTATTTAGTCTATTTTTGTTATGATTGATGCTATGTACCTATCAGTAGTTTAAAATTGTGTGTAGGTTTAATGTCGAAATGTAATCTCACTGAGCTTAGATAATGGCATACGCACTTAAATAAGATAGATACTTAAGATACGTCATAGAAATATATATTTTTGTGTTAAAATTTCACAGCTTATTAAAGACGCGTTGGATTTTAGCTTGGACGAGGCTCATTGAACAGCGAGCTGCTGCCTTTTTCAGACCAGCTGTGTCTGTCGGTGTGCTTCATTGTCCCTGAGACCCTTAACCTGTGATGATATGAAAGGTCACAGGTGAGGTCCTTGGGAACAAAGTTGCATGCAGCTGCACCTGGAGGCCACAGCATTTCCTGTCATTAGACTTAGATAATGCAGCACCACAAGCTGTGTACTTTTGAATCATGAGATTATCACAAATGTAACACAGATCAGAGTAAATCTTCAGAGCAGTTGTAAGTGAATTCGAACTGCGTGAACTCATCTGGAGAGAATTGCCCAAACTTTCCAGATGTCATGGAAAGCCAAGACGAGACAACGTGCTTCTCTGGAGGGGGCAGTACCTTTTGGCCGGCTTTGTGCGCTGAACACTTACACAGTTCAATAAAAAGACAGCCAAGGTTCGCGACCCCGATATATTATTCACCTGAGATTTTTTGACGCATTCGAGAAGAGACAGGAACCAATTTCATAAAAAGTGTCATCACCACCATGCTTATTCATTTTTATAAAATATTTGTTATTGTTAGACTAGATTAAGTAAGAAAATTGTGATTAATCCTGTTGTTTTGTGCAACTAATAAATCCAAATATATATATTTATCTCAATTAAGACAAAGAAAATCATTAAATCTGAAAAGCTGGAACCAGAAAATGTTTGAATGAAGAGAAAGAGATTAATTGATCATCAGAATAGATGTGGATGATTTGTCTGTCAATTGAATAACTGATTAATCAACTGTTTGTCGCAGCTCTACATATTTATATTTTGCACCTTGTTCTGTTTTTGATGAACTGAAGATATGACAATAAAATTCAAGAAATGGTTCAAACTTGTGTTGTTTTTGTTGTGTAAATCCAATAAATACTAGATTTTTATAAAACCATAATCAGCTTTTTATTTTGTGGCACCAAAGCAACGTAGGACACATCTAATAAGGAACTCAACATGAGATAAATGTTTCATATCGATGCAGTAGTGCCCAACATGTGATATCAGGCTCCTACAGAGAACACAAAACTTCTTCACCGTCACATTTTTCTAACTGCTTAACAAAGCGCCGACAGTTTTCAGGTGAATAAATGAAAGTGACGCAGTCCTCTTTCAGACTCTCATCCTGACTCCCAGCCAGGGTGGCTCAGTGTTCCCTGGCTCTCAGCCCTCCGTGTGTTTGTGTGTCCCAGGACAGTTGACATTGATTGTGCAGGAGACAGACTGAGACACATTAGTACCCAGCTCGCTCCCGCCGCTGAAAAACACATTAACTGGCTGCATTGGGAGCCCTGTCTGGTAACCATGGCAAAGCACACAGGGAGGGGAGGAGGAGGAGGGTTGAGACGGGGCAGCGGGTTCAGCGCGCAGTCTCTCAGGGGTTGTCTTTCTCAAACGCTCCTTTCCTTTCCCTTCGGCCACGTCTGTCATTTTCTCTCAGCCTCTCTCTCCCTCTTTTTGAACTGACAGCTTCTCTCTCTCTGTCTGTCTCTCCCCTTCTCACACACATATAAACACAATTTGCATATTTCTTTATCTTCTCCTGCATTCTTCTTCTTATTGATGCTGACCTCATCAATCTGCCCTTACCTCATACTCCACCCCCTTATCCAGCTTCCCTGTGCAACATAATCTGCCTCTCTCTAATTTGCCTCTTTTTTTCCCCCTCTCTAGCCTTTGTACCCCATGTCTTTTCTTCTATTGTCAATATGGTTCCCTCTGTGGAAAAGCACAGGAAAGACAAGGAAAAGAGGAAAGAAGAGGAAAGCTGCAAAAACAATGTGGAATAAACTCAATAAATAAACTGATACTGAAGGAGGACAGATGAGATGATAATTTTCTACAATAATAATATAATGTATAACAACATTAAGGATACAGTAGATAGTGCAGATAGTTTTATAAAGTTACTCATCCATTTTATGCATCTGTTGTATTCTGCTACTGTAGCATGTTTCCCTGTGTGGGATCTATAAAGGTATTGTGCTTAAGTACATATTAAGATACTTGTTCTTTTAGTATTTTCATGTGAAAAGACTTTGAAATTAATCCTGTGTTTACTTTATACTTTGTAATAAACTGTTTTTACATGTTAAATATTCAATCAACTCATACAAATGTTAGACTTTAAGTTAAAGCTCAGCTATGCAACTTTTGCTGGATCGCAGCAACTGTGGCCTCTAGTGGCGATGAAGAGACAAATCATAGAGTCAGTGAACTCAGTAACGTCAGTACACAGTATATATATATAAATATATACTAATATATATAAAGTTCATAATGAAGATTGGAAATATTAGCCACCATAAGATATTGTCATACCACACCAAGTGAGGCTGTAGCAGCAAATCTCCTGAATGTATTGAAGGCTGCCTAGTCTGATAATTATCTGAGTATATTGTTGTTTATTGTGTCATCCACTTACACATGCTGATCCCACATGGACCGAAATACAACAGAAATATGATTTACATTTACTTGTCCTCTACCAAGCTCTTCAAATATAATCTGCCATAAAGAAGATTTCCTTCCTTGAACACAACCAAACTTAATCTTCCAACAAGAAGTGAAAAGTATATATCATATAAATCATCATATTGAGCAATGAAACCATCAAATGTGTCTTCACAGATTTTCTCTTTATACTATTATTTATGTAATTAAGTGTAATTGTAGGGTGTTTATCAGTTTTACAAAGAATCAGTGTAGTTTTAGAGTTTTATATTATATATTATATTTGTGCCTCTGTGCATTGTTCATAATATCACTGTCTAATAATTATTGGCCCATACATTAATCTGTAGGGGGCAGTGCTGAGCTACAGTCCCACAGTGCTTGGTTGAGGTGGCCACACTGTACTTTTAGTTGGAAATAAATGGAAATAATTAATAGATACATTAAAAAAAAAAAAAACTCACGAGTATATCAACTACCCTGTTAAATGTAGAGTACTGTACATTATAGAGGTAAATATTCTAATTTATATGACATCTTTGCTCTTAATAATAAGTTTTAAATGTGAAAAATAAAGCAGCTTTATAAACATCTCAATGTGAACAAAAACACTTACAGGTCTGATATTATCTAATTACATTTTATTCATTATTCAGTCTGTCTCCAGGCTGTGGAAATAAGTTTCTGGATAAAAAGGGGACGACTTCTTTGGAAAATAAACATAAACATGACAGTGCTGAGGTTACATGTTATTGTCCATTGCACACAGCATTCACACCCAACTATAAAGTGCAACAAACCAAACTAGTCTGAGGAAACTGCATGGGTGGTGTGTAAAGTATCTGCTGGTATCAGTGTGATTAAAGAAGCGCCATAGTGGCTGTGAGTATACATACTGCATGTGGTTTACAGTGTGTGTGTATANNTATGTATGTATGTGAGAAATCCCAGTAAACCGCCTGAGAGGGTTGCTGAGGCGGAACTGAAACTCTGCGCCACAGTTTCCTTCAGAGCCTCCTAAACGTCGCGGACACCCGGAAGCAAACGCAAAAATTTAAACAGCCATCACAACAACAATAAAGGCGCACTTTCTCTGTGCGGGCTGTCTGATGAATCCACAATTTATGGACAATTAAACTACAACCGCACAGAGGATTTCTTCAAGGTGAGACACGCACTCTGTGGGTCGCTCTGTCGGATCTGCTTCACGCCGCTAACTACTCTTTCCATCGCCATCGATTTTGAAACTGACTATCACCTGGAAAACAATCTGGTCCATAGGCATGGTGATTGTTTAAGGCCTAAATCTGAGCAAATGTGTTATCCTCCAGTCACAGTGGGGAATGCATGAGGTTTTTACCATTTTTTAAAATACATTGCACGCGTTGAATGTTAAAACGTGGAGCCAAAGGAGCTCCGGTCCTTGTGATCTGCTTGCAGCGATATGAGCAGCGCACATGTTAAAGCTAAGCCTCACAAGCATTGAACTGTCGGTTCGCCTTCCCGCCGTTGCAACACTGCAAGTCCAGAAAATAGACGCCGCCGTGCGAAAACCCACATCCTTTTTAAATATTCATGAAAACATGTAAACATTTAGTAAGTTTCTCTTATGATAATTTTTAAAAATATGCACGTGTGTGCTGTCGTGCTCTGCAGAATTGGTTGTTTATGTTGATTGTTTTTGTTCCTTCTGCTTTTTTTAAAAAAATCAATAAATTAATAATATTTTTAAAGCTTTTATAAGTGGATCAATAAAGCATTTGAATATTTTAATTATTGCTTTAGATTATAAATAATAATTGTGTCAATATAAGGGAATAGACTCAAATGTAACTAATGGTAACAGATTTATATCAATAAGGGAATAAATATAAATATGTACAAATAATTAACCGTAATTACATGATATGTGCTTAAGATAAATATAAGCAATTAAAGAGACATTTTCGAATGATTTCACCGTATGGGCGTATAACTTTATATAGTTGTTCATATTGTCAATATTAACTTTTAAATCAGGTGTCAAAGGTCAAGAAGCAAATTGCATCATGTCTCAAATCTGCTAAACCTAAAAAAATAAAGAAATTAATAATATGACACATAGATATTTAAATAATTCGATTAAAATTTAAAACAATTATTGCCTATGCCATTTAGTTTTTTTCGATAATTAATAATGAAGATTATTTTCTTGATTATTCAGTTAATCTTTAGAATATCAGAAAACTGAACAATCCCCATAATAATATCCTTGAGCACAAGGTGACGTCATCAAAATGGTGAATATCGAAATAGTTGCTGATTAATCATATTTTTAACAATTAATTGAGTAAACTTTGCAGCTCTAGTTAGAATAAGAAAATAATTTCTCATTGTAACAATGAATGGCGTTCAGTCCTTGGTTTGTGATTCGTTCTGCTTCTCATGGAAAATAAAATCCAGAATTGTGCAACTTAAGTCCTGCTCCATGACAGTTACTATTGTTACATAATCAGTATTAAATAGTTTAATATACATTGTTAATTTAATTACAATAACAGTTTCAACGTTCAGTTTACAGGTGCAAACTTAACACAAGTGGTCCAAGCTGACGGCAAAAGTATGGAAGAAGAAATAAGGACGTCTGAGACGGAACAAGGAGACGTTGGCAGCAATGAGGGAGAGCCCAGTGCAGACATATCCAACAGCAGTCCGGTAAAAAGAGGAAGGGGGAGGCCACAAGGCTCAAAGAAGTTGAAGGTTTGTGTTACGGACGTCAACCTAATGGAGCTGGTTTCGGGCATTTCTAACGGCGGGTCCACACAACCCCAGAGGGGAAGAGGGCGTCCAAGACTCACAAAACACACAGAGCAGCAAGGATCGGGAGACGACGATGCTGATAATTCTGTGCAAACACCTAGGGGACGGGGGAGGCCCAAAGGGTCCAAGAAACAGGCCAGTGACAGTCTTACGACAGACCGTTCTCCTAGGAAAAGGGGCAGGCCAAAAAAGTCCCTTGAAAAAGTCTCTCTTGAGAAGACTGATGAGGAAGACTTACCGAACGGTGGCTCGGATACGCCAAAACCGAGGAGGGGTCGCCCAAAAGGATCCACGAAGCGCAAGTCGGAAAGTTTAGGAAGTGGTGAAGAGAACGAAGGCAGTTCTGTGACACCGAGGAAAAGAGGTCGACCGAAAGGCTCTCTCAATAAGAGACGCAGGGTGGAGAGAGAGCAAAGCAGTGAGGAGGAGGAGGATGAGGAGGAGGAGGAGGAAGAAGAAGAAGAGGAGGAGGAGGAAGAAGCTGATGAGAGCCTAAACTCGCTTAAAAGGGGGAGAGGTCGGCTCCGGAAGGTGGAAGTGAATAAAACGTCTGAGTCGAATGGCATCTCGAAGCCTCGGCGAGGGAGGGGAAGGCCGAGAAAAAATATCGAGGGGGTGAGCGGAGATAAACAAGAACTGGGCTCAGACGGTTCCCAGCCAGTTAAGAGGGGTAGAGGTCGACCTAAAGGCTCTTTAAACAAGAAACCCCCCATGTATAAGGTGCACGGTAAAGTAGGCCGGCCTCGGAGAGTACATGCCACGCCCACAAGAGGGAGGCGTGGTCGACCAAGAAAACAACCAGCAAAAAGGGGACGGCCGAGGAAGTACCCTCTGCCGTCACCCGAGGAGCTAAAAAAGCCTAAAGTGTGGAAACCGCTGGGGAGGCCGAGGAAATACCCACGCGTCGATCCTCCAGAAGGAGCTCCGCCGGCCCCTCGCCGGAGCCGCGGCCGACCTCCCAAGTCGGCGTCCAAGAAAGGCGCCCACTTACGCAAGAGCTTGCCCGCCACTCCATCCTCGCCGCGCAACCCCGGTGACGGATCCCCGAGGAAAAGGGGCCGTCCGCCAAGTATTCCGAGGAGCGACGATGACATCCCGCGGAAAAGGGGTCGGCCTAAAGGTTCGGTCAACAAAAACAAAGCCAGAAGTGAAACGCAGCTCAACAGCAGCGCACTCCCCAACCACGATGCAACCGCTGTTGGGGTGGAACATGAAGGAGAGTCCGTAGAACAGGAGACGGTGCACGAAACAGAGACGGTGCACGAAACAGACACGATACCCGTCGAGCTCGGAGGCGATACTGAAGAAATGCTCGATCAGGAGGCGAGCTTTGAAGTTAGCAACCAGGCTTGATGAACGATCCCGGTCTGACCAAAAAGAAGAAGAAAAAAGTTGCTGTAGTAGCTGCTGTTCAAAACATTGAATAC